AAATGTGTGTAGTCTAGAAGAATAGACCAGCCCCAGCTCTCTCCTGAGAGGTGGGAGAGGGCTCCTCCCGGCCCAGGGCTGTCGGGCAGAGGAGGGGAGGCAGAGGAGAGCTGTGCAACCCTCTATCTGTCTCAGTGCAACTGTTGCACAAGGCATCTCTGCACACTGGGCCCTCTGTGTTGTCCTTGACCCTGGAAAACGTGGGCTGGGAATGAACTCAGCCTTCTGGACCATGGGGTTCCTACAGCCCGTCTCCTGCTGAGATCCTTTTTGTATGAACCTGCGTCTTCTTTCTTTCTGCCACACCCCCCCCCTCGCGCATGCCCTTCCTGCTTCTGAAAAGAGCTCTCCACTTTTTACAGGGGACTGATTCTCTCACATTCCAACCTTAGAAATCCTGACTCTGTGCCCTTTGCCCTTTGTTGTCCCCACCTTGATTGGCTCATGGAAGCAGCAGGGTCACTAGACAAACTGGGTGAAGTTCTTGGCTAGGATTCTTTAAATGGAAAATGGGAAAAAGACTTCTGCTTCCCCCATGAAGCGCCAATCGCCAGGGGAAAGGCCCTCCTCCTATTGTAAACAAGTAGAAACCAGGGAGATGGAAATGAGGAGAGTCTTGGACTCACCATTCCCTGTCCCAGCAGATGGAGAACCCAGAGCCCAGCAACCACAGAGCAGGGGAGGCACAGACCAGGGCTTGGGCGGGGGGAGGGGGGGGGCTACTGGGAAGAAGGAGGCCACGCAACACGGGTGGTTATCTTCACACCAGCTGAAACAGAGAGGCCTCTTACACACCACGCACACAGCACACAGAGTCCCCAGAAGGATACCATCTTACTCGTGGGACTAAATGAGTCTTGAAACACTGACCTTCCTTAAAATTTAAAATCAAGCTTCAAAAGGCTCAAACTGATCCCAAGCACCTTACATGTGCTTGGACATACACCTTAAAGAAATTGAGCACCCACTATAATAAAATCCACAGCTCTGCTATGGCTCGAACATCCCTCTAGAAGGTGGGTGGAAATTTACCTGGCCGCTGCTGTTTGGGGAAGTGGGGCCCTGAGAGAGTTGAGGTGGATCTCCCCAGGAGGGTTAGCCATAGGGAACGCAGCTTCTTCTGCTTTCTCTGGCCCCAGTCCCCTTGCTCTCACCAGGAGAGGCCCTTGCTGGGTTACCATGCCACAGGAAGACCGGCCCCCGATGTGACCCTTCAGCCTTGGGCTGCCCAATCTCCAGAGCTCTGAGAAACACATTTCCTTTTCAAATAAATGATGGAGTCTGTGATGTTCTGTCATAACAGCAGGAAAACAGGCTAAGCCAAAGTGTGACACACAAACAAGAATCATCAGGTAGAGATCCTGACTCCAAGCAGACGAGAAATCAGTCAACTGAGACAGGCCCAGACATGGTGGACTAAGAAGGCAGGGTCCTTAGATTATGTAATGTTTGAACAGACATTTCACGGAGAAAAAAATAAAAACGGCAAAATAAAAATGCATGAAAAGATGTTTAGCACCATCCATCATTAGGGAAATAGAAATGGGAACCCGAGGCGTTTCTCTCTGCAGACACCAAAGAATGGCTACAATTACTAGGACTGATCTAGCAGCTGGAATTCTCCGCTGCTGGTGCAGGGTCCCGACTGTCCCCTGCAGGCCTGGGTATTAAAGGCTTGTTCCCAGGGTGGGCTGTCCACAGATGGAGTCTCAGAGGTGGGGTCCAGTGGGAGCTCCTCAGGAGGAGCCAGTCCTCCCCTTCTCTTTTGCTTCCTGGCCAGGGGTGACTGGCTTTATTCTGCCACTGGCCCTGCTGTGAGGTGCTGCCTCAGCAGGGGCCCCAAAGCAGCAGGGCGGATCGACCAAACCTCCAAACTGTGGTGCAAGCGGCCATAAATTGGCCATCTCAGGCCCGTGTCTTGGCCACAGTGGGAAGGCGGAGTGGCACAACGACGTTTGGAAAATGGTCAGGCAGGGTTTTTATATAAACAGAAATGACTCCTTTTATGCGTTTATCAGAGCGTTAGAGTCATACTACGTAGTAGTGGGGCTCCTTTTGACAGGACCAGGCTTGTAGGGAACACAACGCGCTCCATCCAGTCCCCGGTGCTCTCCCTCCCCTCCACCGAGGGACACAGGGCAGCAGGGGAAGGGCACAAGCCGATGGCACAGGCAGCCGCAGATGAAGCTCACTCCTCAGTGAAGCTAAGTACAAGTGTTTTAAGAACATCGTTCCAACACGTGGGACATGAAGCTCTGTACCGGTAGATGCCCATATTCTTAGGGGTGTTTTCCTTATTGATTCATTTTTAAATGTTTACATATTGAGAAAGGAGGCTTTGTCCGTCATCCACACTCCGTCCGATGTCATTCTCAGCTGGTCACTTTCTTCGTCAGACGGCTCATGGTATTTCTTCCTGTCAAAATTTTATGTAGTCATATTTTCATAATTTTGGGACTACACGGATCATGTTCTGCAGGGGCCTTTCCCACACTAAAACTGATAGTTTAAAATTCAAAACTCTCCCCACTTTTCTGCTTTTATGGTTGCAGTGTTATACCCCGGGGTTCATGTTAGAGGAGTCAGCTGGCTGTCCTGAGAGGCCCCCCTGCCCTCTGCACTCTGTCCTACTGTTCTCTTCTTGGTCGGAATGATGCTGAATTTGTAGATCAACGTAGAGTCGGTGTTGGCGGGAGCTGGGCTGCGGCTCAGAGGCAGAGTGTTTGCCTCGCCTGTGTGAGGCACTGGGTTCGACCCTCAGCACCACATACAAATAAATTAATAAAAAATAAAGGTGTAGTGTCCACTGACAACTAAACATATATAAAAGAATTGGTGTTGGCGTGACATTTGTCTTTCTATTCAAGAGCAGGTTGTTTGTTTTCATTTACTCAGATCTTCTTCCATGTCCTTAAGAGTATTTCATTTTTTTTCTCTTAAAGTAGATCCTGTACAGTTCTTCACCTTGCCACTCTGACCAGTGTGTTGTACTGAGTTTCATAACTACATCATCATTTATTTAACCAGTGTCCTCAGTGGACACGTAGATTAGCTCCATTTTTATTTATTTGATTTTATTTTGGTGGCACTGGGAATTGAAGCCAGGGCCTGCAGGTGCTAGGCAAGCATTCTCTTGCTGAGCCATGTCCCCGTCCTATTCTTAACTTCTTTCCTTCTTTCTTTCTGTTTCTTCCCCCCACCCCCCTTGTGGAGGTGGGGGAGTACAGAGGGTTGAACACCAAGGTCACTTTGCCTCTAACCACACCCTCAGCCCTTTATAAAACTTTTGAGCATGGTCCCACTAAAGTGCTGAGCATATCACTTAGTTGTTGAGGCTAGCCTTGAACTTCCCATCCTCCTTCCTCAGCCTCCCAAGACTTTGGGATTACAGGTGTGCACCAGCACACCTAATCCTAGTTCCAATTTCTATGAATTAAAAAATAATCTAGCAATGAACACATTGGTAGCTATTTATTTTAGTGTATCTATGATGATTTTGTTAGGATGAATTCCCAGAAACCGAATGTTTAGGGGTATGCACGTTTTTTACAGCTTTTGATGCCTGATGCTAAATAATATTATCAAAAAAGTTTCCAAAAAACGTTCCTTCAATTTTTGAAAATTGAATGGGCTTCCTTAGTAATGTGGGCCTCACCACATAATGATTAATATCTGTAACTTAACTGCAGGTACCCTGGGGGAGGGGAAGCAGCAGAGGGTGCAGACCTCCTCCAATGACTTGGTGGGAAGGTGCCTTGCAGGATGGTGTGGCCAGGTTCTGCCGTTCCTTCAGGCCCTAGTCCTATGGGGCTCTCACATCCCAAGGCAGGGGCACCCTGCATATTTGTATCTTTTGTATGATATGATCCTAAGGGGTTTCAGTGTTTCAGCTGCAAATGAACAAAAATATGAAGAGATTGATCCACCCTTGAAGAACCGGCCGTATCGGTCCATTCGGGGCTTAATAAAGAATTTTGATGGCGAACAGACTTTTGCCTTAAATATTGATATTAATACAGCAACCCAACATAAGGTCCAGGTACACCCAGAGATGAAGGTGAAGTTTCAGGGTGCTTAGTTAAGAGCCCTGGGTAAGACCCTGTCTTATGGTCACATGATCAGATGTGAATATCACGTTGTGAGAATGGCCTTAGGCCTGAGCCTAAGCAACTCCATTTTAAAAACTCCAGTTTGAAACCTGCAGTCTCACCAGGCACACCCACAGAGCCCTCCGGTGTGGCCTCAGATAAGTCACTTCCCCTCACCCTGATAAACAGAGTGTAGCCTCAGGCAGGCTGTCTTCCCCTGATAAGAGGGAAAGGTGAGAAGATCAGGGTGGAGACCCCCAGACCAGATGTTTCTGATCCCAGGGTAAATGATGTCATGGAAAAATACAGTTGTAGCTGATAAGGATTGAAAGGGGAGTCAAAAGCCCCAAAATTTAGTATAAATAATAGAGCAAGTAAACAGGGATTCAGCAGCCGGAAGAAGGATGCACTGGAGCTAGAGAGCCTGATGAGGACCTGACATCCCATCACTTGTCATCATTTCCTGATCCTCTGCGTGATCCTCGCTCTACCGCTCTCAAACTCTACCACCTCGTCTGGACCTTGGAGAGAACTGCAACTTCTCCCTATGTCCCTCTCCTCAACTGGTCATCCACTCCACGCCAAGAAAAGCCTGACTTGGTTCCGGACCTGGTCACCACAGTCTGAGTGAGTGTGCATCCGCTGAACATAAAGCTTAAGGCTTAAGACTTTTGAACTTAGCATGCAGAGGGAATGTCTGTCATTAGCCTATCATGATTAAGAGTGTTTTGCAGTGATTAGAATTAATCTAGAATTGTTTGCTGTGAATTAATTAATCTAGAATTGTTTGCTGTGAATTGATTATGTGTATTGCAGTGCCTAGCATTAAGGATTGTCATTTTCTTGATTAAGAACCTATAGAGTGAAAATGTATGTAGTAATTTGAGTGAGTAAAGCATTGAACAGGGGCAGAAGCATGTGGACATTCTTTATTTCTCCCCTCGACTGCATATGCCACAATTTTACCCATCATGACACATGTGCAAAAGTAAAACATTTAATTAAAATCTGTAACTAAGCCATTTTAATACTCTGTGTGTTAAAGGCTGGAGCGGTCCAGTCCAGAGGTCTAAGGATGGGGCTGGAGCCATCCAGTCTGGTTGTGGACACTTGCTTCCCTGGCCAAGGCGGACTGATCCAGGGTGGTCCCTCCTCATGCATGTCCATCAGAACTCTCCCCTGAGAGTTGTCAGTTGCGATCGGGAACTGTTACAATCCCCTTCGGATGGAGAAGGTCTGGGTCAGGCTGCTGCTCTTGCTCTCCTCTTCATGCGGAAGGTCTTCAAGGTTAGGAGGGTTGTAAGTGGACACAGACACAGTGAAGGGAAGAAGGAGAGCAGTATTCTATCCTCGGTTCTTGACTCTGGGGCCCTGTCCTTGCTGCCTTACCTGTGCTATGTAAGTGTCCCCAGCATATCCCTCCTTTGGGCACAGGTGATCCCAAAGCTTCTGGCACTTGCAAGCAAGAGTTCTGAGAAATATTGCACTCTCGCCTGGCAGCCCTCTTCGAGACCTTGGTGTCACTGCTCACTCCCATCAAACAGGCACTGGGTGAGGTGTGGATGTCTCAGGTGGTCCAAGTCCTCTGGCCACAGGCCAGGCCAGCATGGGCCAAGCATATCCATACCGTCAGGTTGGCCTGAAAAATGGAAAGGGACAACAAGGGCTGCGTCCTGGAAGACGAACAGTTAAATCCAGGGAGGCAGAGCCCAGCCTTGAGCACGAAGGGAACAGTGAGAACCCAAGAGCAGGCAGCAGAACTGGAGGCTGAGACGCTGGGCTGTGGGACAGCCAGCTGCTGGGGGAGGCAGGCCCCACCTACCATCTTCAACAACTTGGGTGGGTGTGGGGTAGGGGGGAGGCATGGGGGAGGGGAGGTGTGTGTGGGAGGCTGTGGGCCCCTGTCCTAAAGGCCTGGGCTGAGAGTCCTGAGCACAGGAACACACAGGGAAGCAGATACCAAGCACAGGGCCTTACTAGTTTGGGGTGAATTTCTCCACCTTCGTGAGCCTTGTTTTCTTCATTTTCAGAGTGGGGCTAGTGATACACATCTCATGTTCTGTGCAGACTGACGCGGAGGGGCACCCACAGTGCAGGTATCTCACACACCAGCTGCAATGCAGGAGGTGGGTCTGTCCCTGTCCCCTGGATCTGGGTGAGGATGTCATGGCCTATTGCACAGGGAAGTGGTTCGCAGGACTTCCCAGGTGAGGGAAGCTCCTACCTTAGCTGCTACTCATTCTCAGAGCTCTGCACCACCAGGCTCCTAAGAGGAGTGCTGCTTTGCTGAGGCCACTGTTAGGGTTTAGACTTAGAATGTCCTCAAAGGCTCAGTCCCCATGCAGCAAGGCTCAGAGGTGGGGCTGTCAGGGAGGGATTGCCCCTTGAGGGGTCTGAGCTCCTCAGTGGATCAATACAATGGCGGATTCACAATTTGATGGCCCTATGAGGGGAGACATAAGCTTCAGAAACAAGTCTAGTTGCAGGAAGTCGGTCAGGGGCATGTCCTTGAAGGGTGTGTCTTGTCCCTGGCTGTCCTCTCTCTCTCCTTCCCAGCCACTATGACAGTGATGAAAGAGTCCCTAATGTCTGATTCCATTTACGTGAAACTCCAGGAAGACAGCTCTAATCTAAAAGGACAGGAAGCTGACTGGGGTTTGGATGGAGTGAGAAGACTGTGCAGATGTGCAGGGAGCATCATGGGGTGACTTTTCTACATCCTGATTATGATGGCAGTTTCATGACACAGAAATTTTCTTAAAACTCAATACTGTGCACTTGAAATGGTGTGACTTTTATTATGTGAAAATATAATTCCATAAAATTGATTTAAATAAATTTTTCTGTTTATATGTAACTTGATGCTCTGCCTAAAACCTGGGCTACAAAATGTTTCTGGAGTTCTCAAAGGAAGACACCATGTGGAGTGAAGGAGAAAGCCATCCTTTTACAGTTGTGAGAGGCCCTGGTCTCCGGGACCCTGGTTCTCCCACTCGGGGGCAGGGCTCTTGGTTGGTCTTACCCCGTGGGTCTTACCCCGTGCCTCGTGGTTCACGGGACACAAGCCGAGTGAATGCAGCCTTGGGGAACAGTTTCATGACTTGATGAAGATCGCCAGGATGACTGTCCCTCCTTCAAGTGGAGAGCCTGTGCACATGTTGTTCTGGGGAAGATGTGGGCACCGCTGTCACGTGGACCTAGCACAAAGAGCCTGCTGGGAAGAGCCCCTGTAGCTGGGGGCTCCAGCTTCCCTTCCATCTCTCTGCTTATCCTTAATTTTAAGGCGTGAGTGTGTGTACATGGCATCTGGCATGGATGGTTGGAGAAGGGGTTCTGCCTCAGATGTTGCCTCTTGCCATGGGGTGGGGTGGGGTGGTGGACAGGGGTGTGCTGCTCACAGGGTCTGGGGGCTCGTGGGAACATGAGGAAGGGCCTATTTAATGAGGGACTGTGAAGGGACCCTGGGCACCAGGGCTCCACCCCTGGAAGCTAACTAAGGGACAAGAATGGCCGAGCATACCCCTTTGGTGGCCTTCAGAGCAGCAGCCCTGATGCCCACAGCCCAGTCCACACCACAGCTCAGAGGCCTCCCTGGGTCTCCTTCCCCTCAGACCACTTGGCCTTTCCTTCTGCAGCCTCCTCAGCCAGCCTCACAATTGGCAGATCCTCATTTCTCCTTCTGCCTTCGTGGTGAAAATTCCTCTGAACCCCCCATCAACACACCCAGGACCTCATGGCTACTTGCACACTCAGCCCCCCAGTCCCGGCTTTGCCTCTCATCCTGAATGAGAGGACAGTGCCTCGGCTGCACTATGACCACTGGCTGCAGGTCCTGCAGGCTTGAGCCCAAGCAGGGTCCTGAATTCCCAGACTCCGGAATGGCATTTAGGTTTTTCCCCCGAAACACTACCCTCCCTTCTGCCACTCCTGCCCCTCACTACAGACACCCTTGGCAGGACGCCCCCATCCCTCACTGTCCCCGGGGCCCACCACAGTGCTCTGGACTGTTCCTGCTGGTTAGAGCCTCCTCCTTTGGGATCCCACCAGAGCCCATCTCTGGGTGGTTTGGGGGCCACTCCAGCCTCTATTCACCGAGGTGGGCATAGGCATGCCCAGAGTCACCCACAGTCCCTCGACAGCACGTCACAGATGCACTCTAGCCTTGTCCCCATCTTGGCAGGGTCCTCTCTGCTGACCCTTCTACGCTTGGCTGAGTGCTTCAGCTCTGTTGGTCGGTCTGCTCTTGACATTGGCTTCATGCTGAGTGCCAAAGTGCGGTGACTCTAGTGCAAGAAGACTGATCAATGCGCCTCAAGCGGAAAATCTGTGAGTTAGTCCGGCTTCCCGCAAGCGCAAGTGTTGTAAAGCCAAAGCTACAAAGATGAATCAACACTGCACATCAATCACGGGTCCCCCAGAGGCTGGCGGGAACCTCACTCTGCACCTGCCCTCGGAGCAAAGTTTCAGTGTTCTCGAATTCTGTGTCCCCTATGACCTCGCAGAACAGGCCACTGGCACAGGAGAAGGGCTGGACTCTATTGCTGGGTGTCCCCCACTAGAATGTGCGCTCACAAACACAGACATTCCTACCTTTTCCCCTGGTGTGTTCAGTCCTGGTTCCTAGAACAGGGCTCCCAGCAGGCCCTCAGCAGGTACATGAGGAGGAGCAAGGGAGGAGAGGGTTGGACTGCACAGCCCGAGCCCTGGGTCACCTGGCATAGCAGTGTCCACTGGGGTCTTATCCTGGCCATGTTCAGGGCCAAAGGGTGCTTCTCCCACCTCCCTGGCCTCTTGCACGTCCCTGGCCACTCTGCACTTGCTTCTTCAGGACTGCTGTTCCCAGAACACACAGGTCACAGTGGCAACAGCTCCTCTCTGGTCGCCCAGCTTTTGACTCCAGGGGCCTGGGGAATCCTGGTGGCCTGTGGTTTCTGGCTCCTTGCTCGCGTGGCCCTTGGCAGGCACCCATTCCCTGTGAGCTTGCTCCCGGGTGGGGCACGCCACCTCTTCACCCTGGGCTTCTTCACCAGGTTGACTCAGTAGCTCCTTCTCTCTCTGCCTCTCTGATATTTACGTTGGCTGCACAGATGACCAAAGACAACATGGTCCCCGCAGCCCCAGACTTGATCCCCCAGGTTGGCAGCCCCAGAAAGAGAACTGTGTTCCCAGAGCAGGAATCAAGCCTGGGGCAGGGTGATGGGCTTCTCGTTCCAGCTGGCTTCAGCCAGCCCCCCTTTAGCTTCCTGCGTCCTTCAACAGTAGCTGCAGCCTCCATGGCAACCCTCCAAAACGCTGGGTGGCTGGGCGAGGCTGGCCCTCCTCCAAGGCCAGGAGGTGTGCTCTGGGCAAGGCCCGCTGAGAGGTGCAGGAAGTCCACACTTCCCTGCCACACATTGTTCTGCAGAACTGGCTGAGAAGTCTGGAAAAACATGCTGTTCTCCCTGCAAAAGGGAGAGCTTTGCCCCCTGCAGTCAGGTTTCCCACCAGAGAAAAGCCGGTTAAGCCCTCCAGGAGCAGCACTGAGGTTTCCAGGAAGGAGAGTCCGTCCCTGAAGATTAGTAATAATAGTCAACGAGCGTTCCCACCTCCTGTGCTCATCCACACAGAATGTCCACGGTAAGACAAATCCAGTGCGTGACACAGGGAGCACCAGGGTGCAGCAGGTGGCACTGGGTGGACAGGGGAAGCCCCTCCACCCCCGAATCTCAGTGCTTCCCGGCCACAGAAGCAAAACAGCAGCACCCTTGCTTTAGTAAAATGAAGGCACCTGAGGGCTGGGGGTGGCTCAGGGCAGAGCCTTGCTCAGCACACATGAGGCCCTGGCCAGCCTAGCAACACAGAAAGGACAGTAGCAGGCCACTAAGTGAGGAGAGTGTGCCCATAGGTACATAAATAAACATAAGTGACACCTACATTCATAATACAATACGATCTGCAAAGGATATAAATGTCGTTATCGTGTAAATACACGTAGTCAGGTTTCATATACACACATACATGTTTATTTACACTGCTGTTTATATACTTTCCTTTCAATAACCAGGTGCCATTATTTTAACCAAATCATCTTTTGCTTTTATCTTTTAATTGATCTAGTTAAATGGTCATTTAAGACAAGGTCAACATGGAGACTTTGAGCTGACTGTGAGCAGGACTTCTGGCTTCAGTGGCTAGACTCACTGTCATTTCCTTTTTCTGATGGGTAGATGAGAGATCCAGGGTTTAGTTTTCTTCTAGTTATTTTAATTCAGAATTAATCACAGCCTTTCCCTTTTGTCTACATGCTTCTGTGGAGCTAAGTGAGTGGCCTCCATGAACTCTAACCCACCTGGAGCCGTTGTACGTGCTGGCTGGCCCTGAATAGGAGGGCCATGCAGTACTGCTGAGGTGCTGGGTGCAGGCCCAGGCTGTGTGGGTGCAGGCCCCTGCACTGAACCGCTATGCTAGGGAACAGCTGGATTCAGGAGAGAATCCTGGGAACCCAGAGCCAGAGCCCCAAGAAAGGGCCCAGAGAAGGCTGCTTTGTGTGTTTTTACTGTTGGCTTCTTAAAATGGGTGACCCTGGGTACAACCAAGGCCCAATGACATGCTGGGTGGTGCCGCTGGGGGCCCTCTGCACCCTGTTGTGGACCAGGATTGTGTTTCCCTGCACAGGCTGGGCTCAGGGCTCTGGGTTCAGGGCTCCAGGCTCCATCCCAGCCAGCATGCTGGCTCTGATGCACTCACAGAGCTGCTGGGTGTTCCAGGCTGGATTCAGGAGAAAGGGGGCTGCAGGGGGTAAGAGACAGGTTGCATTTCTTTTCTAGGGAACAGGAAGCTGCCCTGGACCCCAAGGGTGAGCCTGGCATTCACACATCTTCGCTAACCCCATGAGATTGGCTTAAGGGTTGGTTATGTCTGCTCAGGGATGTCCTTCCCAGAAGGGGACATCTCTACCACAGAGCCCAAGTATGCAGGTGGTGCTCATAAATGAGCAGAATTCTGCAGAATACCTGCAAAGCTGGGTGCAGGCGACAACCCAGGAGGCCAGAGCGTTTGGTGCTGTGATACAGACCTTATTAATAATGGTGCCATCCACCAAGCGCCCTGCCTACCAGGCGCTGTGCTGAGTGCTTTGTAAGCATGTCCTGTTTTAGCCTCACGTCAGGCCTTTTGACATAAGCAATGTGTCCAAGGTCAAAGAGCTAGTAAGTTACAAAGACGGCAGATAAGATGTGTGTACTAGAAAGAGGGTAAAACCCCAGAGCTGAAGATAGCACGGGCTTCAGACAGGATCCTCAGGAGAAGCCAAGAGCAGTGGGGGAAACCTGTAAAACAGGTGGAGACGGTTCCAGCCGAGTCGTTCTGAAGCCAAAGGACAGCAAGTTCCCCAGGCTCTTCCTCGCGTGTCCACAACCCTCTGGAGATATAAACCGTTGCAATTCTTTTTTAAATGAGTAGAGTGGAGATCCAGAGCCTTCCAGATGGAAGGACTGCCCCAAGCGAAACTTATCCTACAGCCAGGTGCTGCCGTTGAGCAGAGAGAGGGAAACAGAGCAGCAGCTCTGGTCTCTGCGGCTCCTATCCACAGACTCAGCCACCCTGGGAATGGAATCCTGGAAAAAAGCTGTGTCTGTGCAGAACATGCACAGCTGTCTCCCCCTCGTGTGACTCCTACACAACACGGTGTAGCAGCTAGTCACATAGTGTTTACATTGTATTAGATCTGATAAGTCACCCAGGGGCTGTGCATAGGTCCTATGTGAATACCACACCATTCTATATAAAGGACACGGTCATCACAGATCTGGGTGTCCAGAACTACTCCCTCATGGTACAGAGGGACAATTGTACAAGAGTGTCTTAATAAGCCACTGTACAGGGCATTGGAAAGTGTCCCATGGCCTCCTGAGCTGCAGGAGGAGGCAGGCTGCACCTGGCGCGGGGTCTTTTGCTGGAGCACCCACCCCCCAGCAGACCCTGTGAAGCTGTTTTATCCACAGGAGTTTATCATGGGACTAAGTCTGAAGAAAGACCCCTGGTCCCTAGACTTGATTCTCTGTAGTCCCATGATATTGGCCACATCTCCTTACCCTCTGAGCCTCCGTGTCCCCACCAAGAAATGGGGATTATGTAGCACCCCTCTCCAAGGGTGGTCAGGAGCCTCATAGCCATCAGTGGGCGTCAAGAGCAAAGAATGTGCAGACCCCTAGCACTAACCAAGGGCTCTGCTGTCACATAGAAGAGGACACTGCTGTCCAGGGACAGGAACAGCACCTCGAGGTCCAGGCCAAGGAGTCACAGAACCAAGACAGGACAGCGGCTGACCCACTGCACACACCGACCTGCATCTCCTGTATGCCAGACATGGTGTGAGGGCCTCGCAGCTACAATCCGTAACGTTCTGAGAGTCTGGGAGTGACCTGTGAGCTCCCTACTGTGCAGATGAGGAGGCTGAGCCCAGGCAGCCAAGTGGCCGGCTCCAGGCTGCAGAGCTGCTTAGTGGCAGAGCCCAGGCGTTTCTCATTAGGCTGTTGGACTTTGCCTCAATCAGGTGACATGTTCATTCGCAGCCAGTCTAAGAGACAGCTGGTAAGAGTACAAAGGCAGGAGGCTCGGATGTGATTTCTATGGTGCCAGGCTGTTTGGGGGACTTGGCCTTCGTCATGGGCTCCAGGAGAGCCCCTGGAGTAGCCACAGAGGTCAGTGCCCTCTCCTTTTTGAGCCCCCTTGGGGGCTTCCCCAGCTGCCTCCACCTTGAGCTTCCTGGGTGTCTGGCTTCCCACAGGGTTGGGGACCCAATCAGCACAGCCTTTCAGCTCTGGGCTCTAGCCCCAGCTTCGCCCCTGCTGCCCTTGGCCTCTCTGCACTCCACCCCTGCCCCCAACAGGTGTGGGATCATGTGCCTCCGTGGCTTCCTTTACTCTAAGGATCATACAGAACCGTGTGCCTAAGAAGTGTCACACTGTAGTCCCTCAGTTTGCTTTGTCCCCCACACCCTCAGGCTGCTCTGCCCTCCTTAGCCACACACCACTTTCCCTCTAGCTGCAGGCCCATCCAACGGCAAAACACAAACTCAAGTGGAAATCGGTCGGGCCACATGTAATCACAGCAACCAGCACAGCAGCGTGTGTCCCAGGCCGCTGGGAAGCGCCTCAAGTGGCTTCTTGCCACATCTTCACCCGAGGCCTGTCACCTCCCAAGGTTTCAGAGACAGGGAGTAACTTGCCTCTGGTCACAGGCATGTGGTGTCAGAGCAGGATTTAGACCCGCAACCCAACCCGGGCTGACAGCTGCCCCCACCGGCCCCCACTCGCCTGCCTCCTGCCATCTGTTCCCCTGAGAAGCCAACCTGGGCCACTCGACCTTCCCCCCGGGGAGCCAGGAAGCCAAGGGAACGCTCAGGTTCTGCAGTCCAGAGAAGGGACTCCTTGGGGACCTGGCCTGGGACTGGTATGCCCTCTGGGGGAGTTGGCAGAAAGGCCCCCACAGCAACTGAGTGAGGGCTCAGGGCCTTGGGAGACCCACGGGGAGGGAGGACAGTTCAGTGGTGTTTGCCCAACTGTGAGCCATAGAGGGCGCCGGGAGCAGGTGGGTGAAACTAGGAGCTGAGGCCCCGTGGCACTGGCATGGCAGGACAGGCTGGTGCTGCCCAACTGGCACCCCAGCACCACGTTCAGCCTGGGTCCACGGGGGGGGGGCAGACAGGTGAGGCAGGAACTATTCCTGTCTAGCCCTGAGAGGGTCCCACCCGACAGGAATGGGACAACTGGGGCCACTGGGGCCAAAGGAATCCCCAATTTGGGTGTGAAGTTAAAATTAAGAAAAGCCCTGATGTGTCCGGGCTGAGGTGGTCGTGCCAGGGCTCTGGGACAGTGACAGATGGCTCTGGGGAGAAGGAGCTGTGGGGGCCTGCTCAGCCTGGTACACCTGAGGGTGGCAGAGTGCACGTGGGGGCATCTGAGATGGACAGGGGTGCACTAGCCTCCTGGGTCTCGACGCATGGGCCCAGCCAGCAGCTCCGGCACTGCCCAGGACCTTGGTAAAAAGAATTAGGACTCCCCACCCCAGACCTGCGCAATGAGAAACTGTCCCCAGGCTCCTCCCAGGACTCTGACGAGAGAAAAATTTGAAAACCACTCACCTCCAGGGGTTGTTACCAGGTCTGTTTTCCCCTGTTTGTTCATCAAGAGTAAAACAGTAATGGTCTCACTATAGTGAGCTCACGATGAGGCATTTACTGGGAAGCCCCACAAAAATG